CAGGGAAAAGGGGTGTGGTTTGGCCCGGGGGGGGGGGAGGGGGGATAAATTCATGGTCACTATTGCCACCCCTCCTCTCCCAAAGTTTCCTGTCCCATGGGAAGCTCTGCAGGCCACGTGATGGCTTCATGGGGCTGCATTTGGCCCATGGGCCAGAGGTTGAGCACCCCTGCTTTATGTTGAATACATTTTGTAAGATTTTTCAAGTGATGGCAATTCCACTGAATGCGATTTGTTCCTAATAATTAATTACGCCAGTGTGTTTTATGTATTTAAAAAAAAAAAAAAATGCACTTACCTTTGGACATTTGGGATTTCTTGCTGTTTCAATCAGAAGATCTGATCCCATCTTCTCTCTATGAATAAAAGACAAATCATTGAAAATACCTTGTTAGTTTGGCATGCTCATTACAAGCTAGTCAAAACCCAGTATCTATGTCTAATCTTATTTAGGATACTTTCTATTTGAAATGATCAGGGTGAGGATATGGGTAGGGTCCTAGCTCCACTAAGTTAATGAGATCTTTGCCTTGGACTTAAATGAAGCCAGGATATTAGCCACAATCTACTCTACGCTGCTGGAAATGACAACCTCTATATACAGATGATTAAGAAGATCTGTAGATTTCGTAGTTTTCTTCCCCCTCCCCCAACTGAGATCTCAATCCCCTAAAACACTTGAGAATATATGTAATTCTGGGCTTACAGAACTACTCAGGAACTAAAAGTTCAGAACATCTGCGTGCTTTCCTTGCTGAGGCAGTTACCATTATGAAAGCGATAAGAATAAAAAAGTGATACTACCATTGCCAGTTGTTCAGGAGAGGAGTATGCAGTAAGTAAAACTGAAGTTAAAATATCTATATTTCATTTTTCTAAACAGTAGGTAGCCTTTAACTATTGCTTTCTGAGTTTAACTGCTTTATCAGGAGCACAGCACCTCCACAAGCCTTCCTACTGCTAGAATTCAGAAACCATACAAAAGATCCATATTTGAATCCATTGACACTTCAACAGAATCTGTATAAAATTTAAAAGGCCTCACTGCACAGTCATAGACTAGTCACATAGTAGCATGGATGCAACACTGGCTCAGGGATTTGTTTCAGAAGGTATCTGATCTCTCCCACCGTCAAGTGAATCCATTTGCACCTTAAGAGACGTACTTATGGGATGAAAACTAAGAACCTCCTCCATGACCATTTTAGGCTGGACATAAGGAAAAACTTCTTTACTGTCCGAGCCCCCAAGGCCTGGAATAGACTCCAGAAGTGGTGCAGGCACTTACTCTGGACTCATTCAAGAAACGTTTGGATGCTTATCTTGCTGGGATCCTTTGACCCTAGCTGACTTCCTGCCCCTGGGGCAGGGGGTTGGACTTGATGATCTTCAAGGTCCCTTCCAGCCCTAATGTCTATGAAATCTATGAAGAAATACACAAATCATCTTAAACAGATTCTACCAGTTTCTGCAGTATGTAAGTTAGTGGCTTTCAATTTTTTTCTAGTGGCAATATCATTTACAGTCAGAAAATTTCACATGAACCAACAGATGAACAACTTCACCGTTTTAAGGGGGAGATTTAATATAGAGCAGCTGAATTTATTGTAAGTGTTTTATCTGCTTGCATCTATTCCACAAAAAGTGCCAGTTAAACCAGGACAACTTACCCCTGAAGAAAACAGGGTGAAAGTTACTGTGGTTTAGCTTCACTTGCTGCAGGAAAGAAGCAGGCACACAAAACAGTTACCACAGAGTAAATAGCATGCGCTCATGAGTAGTAAGCCCCCCATGCCACCCCTAATTAAAACAATATTATTATTTAAAAATCTATCCACATTGTTACTGTTCATCAACACATAATTAATGAAATATGAGGATTCACTAAGCTTGAATTGCTCTTCTGTAGTTGTGCCTCTTCTTACCTCAGAGTTAAATTAGGGCAGCTTACCCCTGAATAAATCAGGGCTACATTGCCCCAGTTTTTCTTTCACTTACTGTGAGGTAATTATCATCTCAGAGACCGTTATCACAAGCCAACCAAGGTGTGGTAAAGCTCCAGTCCTTGTTAATTAATGGCATACTTCACACTTGTGGACTAAGTGGAACTGGAGCATGTAGCAATCATTTGGGAATTGCTGAACTAAGCTTTCATTTCAATACTACTACTAAAAACCCCATCTAGCTGACATGGCAGCAAAAAAACCTTTTGAATACAGCCCAATGTGGTGATGTGGGCTGCATTCGCTAGCAGGATCAGTGCCGCCATTTATTGCACACCATGATTTATGTAGCTCTACATTATTTTGGGCTTTTGAAAATTAGGGTTTTCAGACCTGTGAATAGAAGAAATTTAAGGATAAAAGGATGTGCAGTTTCAACCATATGCATTCCACTTCAAACTGAAAGCCAGTAAATGTTAGGTAATTTTTTTATGTCCTGCTTGGGAGGAAAAACAGGAAATTATAGCTGTACCATGGTTCATGGTTTAAACAATCTGAACTGCAATACTTCAGACCCATAGTTCAGTAACCTCCTTCTTGGAAAGACCAGCATCAGATTCTTCACAGGAGTCCAAGAAAAACTCCTGAATCCTCAGTAGAATAGTTGGGGGTCTGAAACATGATGTCCAACAAGTTGTTAGCATTAACCATCTGGATATGGGCAAACTGGCATCCCCAGCACTGGGAAGCAGCTTCTTGGTCTCAGGACTTTCTGCAAGGCAGGAATTTTAAAGGGCAGACAGCTCATAAATGGCCCCTTCTCACTCATGCTGCCCTGTTCTCTTGCTACTCTGGTTGCAAGTAGCTACAGGGACAGCACAGATTGCCAGTGTGAGGGACCTCACTGCAAGTGGCAGCAGGAACTGCCTAGGGGTGCAGGCCTTGCCACCCAACCAAGGCCAAACAGCAGGGCCAGACAGGGGGCCTGTTGATGAGTGGTACCAGGTAGGGTGCAGCACTCCCCGACAGCTTGTTGTTGGACAGGCTATCAGGGTGCCAGGGAGAGCATGCACCTCTGCTCCCCCTATAAGATGGAAACCTATCTAGGTCAGAAATTTTTTCCCTAGCCTGGTGTGATTTCATCTTAAAACAGGTTTCACTGCATTTGAAAACAGCATTGCTTTCCCCCCCAGCCACCCTTAATCCCTCTTTCACCAAACTAAGTATACCTAGTTCTCTGAACCTTTTTGCAGATGGCTATTGTTCCAACACCTTTATCATTTTTGTTAGCCTCTGGATCAGGGGTAGGCAAAATATGAATTGCGGGTTGGATTTAGCCTGCCAAGGGATATTGTCCAGCCTGTGGTGGGTCCTTCAGTCCCACCCACCCCAGGCAGCGGTGCGTATAGCTGGCCCCACCGTCCTGAGGATTCTGGACGCAGCAGCTCCTTTTGGCTACTGCTGCTGAAACTGGCCCTGCTGCCTGGGCACCATGGCCTGTTGGGAGCAGGACACATGCAGGCAGGGTACATGGCTGGGTGGATAGGATGAAGCTGCAGGAAGGCGAGGAGTGGCATCCAGGAGCAGGACAGGTGGACAGGGCAGTGACAGTGCAGAGCCAAGGCCCAGGGCAAAGTTGCGATCTGCTGTCCGCATGTCCCTATGATGGCAACCAGGGATCTGCTCTGGCCCGTGGCCCCGTGCTGTCACAGCCCTGCAATCCCGGCCCCAGCCCTGCCCACCCATCCCACTCTGGGATGTCACTCCCCGTACACCTGAACCCCCATCCCAACTGCCCGGCTGAGCATGGAGCAGAGCCACTTAGGGAGTTTGGGTGAGCTGCTGAGGAAGGGGGGGGGGGGGCAATGGTAATACTTAGTCAGTGTTTTCCCATTATGTATTTGGGCATTTGTTTTTTCTCTCTGCTAGCTTTAGAATGTTACACTTACTGAAATTCATTCTGCTGTTAAATTCCACTTGCCCCTTTACCTACCTTGTTTATAGTTTCATAGTTTGTAGGGTCAGAAGGGACCTTGACAGATCATCAAGTCCAACCCCCTGCCATGGCAGGAAAGAGCACTGGGGTCAAACAACCCCAGCAAGGTGTTCATCTAGCCTCCTCTTAAAG